GTCCTGTTGCTGTTGGTCATTCCAGGCTTGTCCAGGTTTGTACTCAAAGGTTTGTTTTGACATCAAATATCTGTATTCATTCATACTATTTGAAAAAGTCAGTATGTATTTTGCTGTTGTAATCTTAAATTAAAAATAACACACAGCAGTAAAGCTTGGATTTATAAATGTGTGTCAGCAGTGGTTCCAGCTGTGGATCATGTCTGTGTTTTGCCCACTGTCTGCATTTCTCAGCCATCTTAGCAGACTCTGCAACAGCACAAGCATATGTATTTAATATCAATAAATAACTTAATCAAACTTTCAGAAATTATTCAGCATTTACATGCCTCTGTACAAACGCCATGTTACCTTAACTAAAAAGTTAACATGAATTATGAGCTTTATTTTAAATAAACTTCATGTCAACTCTGCTAGCTGTTAGCATGCCGAAGCCTAATACTGTATAAGGCTTCGACATGCTAAGTGAGCCACGATTCTCTTATAAAAGTGATTCACAGCGTTTCAAAATTATTCAGTGTTCACCTGCCTGTGTCAGGTTTGCCCGGCTGCACCTGCCTTTCTCACTTCCCTCACTCTGTTTTTGCTCCCTTACCCTGATTACGTTATCTGACACACCTGCTTCACATCCCCAGATCACCACCAGCTGCACCTGATTAGTTTCTCCCTATTTATTCCCTGCTCACCATTCACTCCGCTGCCAGTTCTTTCTAGTATCAACAGGCCCGTATGTTTCTCGTTATTGTTAGCGTTTGTGCTCACTTCTTTTTTTGCCCTAGCTCCGTTCCAGTCTTGTGCCCCTGTGTCTCATCTTCCTCGCCTCTGTCGCTTCTCCAGACCACGGACCTCCTCAACCCCGCACCATCTCCACCATGCAGGTCGATGCACAGTCTCCTATTAACTGCCTGTCAAAACTCTGTCTCAGCAACCTTCCACCACGACCAGCCCAGGAGTGAGTCCCAGCGTCCGCAGCCCGGTCTTTCCCTCATCATTCCACCACTGACTGTTGTTCCACTTCTGCGGCTCGACACCCGCTCCCACTCCTACCTGGTTATTCACTTGTTTGTTAATATCACTGTAAATAAATTGAGCACTACTTGCACCGAAGTCAGCTACCTGGGTCCATCCTTTTTTTTGACTCGCTCACCTCTGTGTCCGTGCAGATCTAACAGCCTGAGTATAAACACAGTGTAACCTCAGCTAAACAGTACACATGAATTATGAGCTTTACGTGTACTGCACTAGCAGTTGGCAGCATATTGCAGTGTGTCTACTCAGCTAGCTGTTAGCACCACCGAATACCTTTGTGCTGTACTGCGCAAGCTAACACAGCTAAATTAGCCGCGACTTGCTTATAAAAGCGATTGAGACCGTTCAAAAATTATTCAGTGCTCCCCTGCCTGAGTATAAACACAGTGTAACCTGAACTAAACAGTTCACATGAATTATCATGAGCTTTACTTTTAATAACGAGCTTAGTGTCTACTGTGCTAGCCGTTGCATTGCAATAGGCTGCTAAGTGAGCCACTGCCTTGTTCAAAATACATCGATATAAGATTACCTCGCCACGGTTCTGTTTTAATATAATCCTTCTTTGGTCAGGCTTGATTAGAAAAGTCCAACGTGTTTGGGGAAAAAAGGCATTAAGCTGCTGTCTAGCAGAGCAAGTTCTCTGTATTTGAAAGAACAGCCGTGTTGTCACCGCTAGCTGTTAGCAGCCTATTATAATGCTATGGGCTAAGTGAGCCACTGCTTCAATGAACAGCGGTTTGCTGTCGGCGCACCCACTGCAATGTCAAAAACCTCCTGGTTAACAACTGACAACTGAAGAAAAACTATGTCCTATGGAAACAATCTCTTCACAGTGAACAGCAGGAGGATTCAACAAAAATGCTGATTCCCTCTGTCAAGATATTCCAGAAAATGAAGAAGCAGTGGCAATTTACAAATGCCCTAACTTTTACTTCCAACTTACTTTCTGAATCCTTCCGTTGAATGGCCGTCTATGGAGCAGTGAGACGGCACTGCCTCTGGAATCTGCGATGTTACGCAAATACTGTTCATCCCATCACAATAACAATGGCATAGATAGATTGTGGCAATTTTCTCTACAATTTCCATCCATTATATGTGTATAAAGCATAAGGATGGCTGAATAAGACCAGAAAAACGGGCAAGAAATTGTTGAAAAACAGACAGACCAGCTAGAGCCAGAGGGAGTCACGTGACCCAGAGTGTGCCACTGGGATTGCATTGTCCCATTCATTCCTATGGAGAAATAGACAAAATATAAATGTCGATTATTAAAAAAAAGCGTTAAAGATATCAAGATGATTGTTGCGTCATTGGTAGCTGAACTTCTCACGAGTTGAATAGAGTTGAAATGGCGTTTCTAGCCCAAGGTACAGTATGCCGGAGATATTAAGGTTCAAACTTTTTCCCATTCATTTCCAATGGTAAAATTTTTGTGAAAAAAATCCGAATTTATGAAAAAGTATTAAAGTTATATAAAAGATTAGTACACTCCACAATGTCCTTAAAAAGCTGAACAGTTTGATACCAGAATGGGTTGTCTAGCTGAAAGTATGTGTGAGGAGATGAGCGGCAAAAAACGTACGAAAGAAACTGTAATAAGATTTGGAAAACAAGAGTGTGGTTGCTTCGCATCCACATTAATAAAGAACAGGATAACATAGCGTGGATGCTTCACAGGATCCACACAATAAAGAACAGTATAACATAGTGTGGCTGCTTTGCATCCACACAATTAGACAAGTATTACTCATCTCTTTTTCCTCTGTCCATCATCTAAAGAAGCCACCTTCCACCCATTGCCACTGTGTTCTACAGAGGCACTTGAGAGCATCCTGACCACCTGCACTTTGGCACTTCTCTCACCAGCATCCATCCACCCATTATCTACACTGCTTATCCTAACAATGGTCGTGAGGGGTTGGAGCTGACACTGGGCGAGAGGCGGGGGACACCCTGGACAGGTCACCAGTTTATCACAGGGCTGACAGACAACTACACTCACTCCTATGGGCAATTTAGAGTCACCAGTCAACCTAAGCTGCATGTCTTTGGAGTACCCGGGAAGAACCCACGCAGGCACGGGGAGAACATGCAAACTCCAAACAGAAAGGCATTGGGTTGGCTGGAGCTCGAACCCGGAATATTCTTGCTGTGAGGTGACAGCATTGCTCAGGTAGAAATGACTGGCTTAATAACTCACTCTCATTCAGTCTCCAGAAAAGAAGAGACAAAAAAACAAGAAAAACATCAGGAAAGTTCAAAATGCAAAAAGCTTACGTGAGCTGATTTGTGCAAATGCTACCAAACCTGGCAAAAAGCACCCAGCAATTACATGTTGCTAAGTACAGTAGAGTTGTGTCATATGCAGTCACACTCATAGACTTAGTCCATAATCATACAATTATCATCACAATTAATCCTGTCCTACCATTTCAGCAGAGAAAATGCACACACATACACACCACACACACACACACACACACACACACGCACACATAGGACACTTAATGTCTAAGTGGCCCTCTCTCTAGCTATAACTAAGTGGAGCTCATATTGCTCAAATCCAACTCTGCACAAAAAAGAATGATGCATGACAGTGTCAGCTGGGGTGGTGATGGATAAAGAGGTGAACAGGAAGAGTAAATAAGTAAAATGACAGATGGATGGGAGGTAGATGGATGGAAGACAGTTGAGTGGTTTTAGCCAATTATAGAGAAGGAGAGTGGGTAGATCAAGTGTGCTACCAGACACCAGATGGGCTGAAGTGTTGACGTCACAGTGGTAACAAAAAACCTCAGAAGAATGGTGGGAGGGGAGATAGAGGAGAAAGGAAGAGGCGGGGACTGAGGCCAAGAATAGCAGTACAACCTCAGGCTAGTAAAATTGGTTGAATATGCCTGTTATTTTTTACTTTTCTACTGTGCCAGCCAGCACTCATCTAACATCTTTCTCTCCCTCTTTTCTATCTAATTCTTTCCATCAGGCACTTTACACAATTTAAGGCCAATTTAATGCCCAATTTAAGGGCCACAAAACAATCGGTGCATTCTGTGACCTCGGAAAAAGCTGTATTCTCAGCCAATGCACAGTAGGGACTGTACAACTCAGCCTGTCCTGTATAATGCTGTGAATGTGGACTGTAGCTTCAAAATCAACATATCTACAGAGGAGTAACGTCATAAATATTTCTTCAAACATCAGGTCAAACATAAGACACTAGGAGTCATGAAGAGAGAATAGAGTGAGAAGCTTCACTGACACAGGTTAATCCTTGAAAGGTCCCTCTGGGAACTCTTAGGCAATCCTCTAGGGGATGGATTTTAAAGATGTGCAAGACAAAAATAGGATTTATATGTGAGGGTACAAGTGACAATTAGCAGCAGGTATTACTTGTATGTGTGTGCACATGTACACTATTTACTTACTCCAGCCTCATCCAGAAATGGTGCTCCATATCTTCAGGTAGAAATGACTGGCTTAATAACTCACTCCCATTCAGTCTGCAGAAAAGAAGAGACAAAAAAAACAAGAAAAACATCAGGAAAGTTCAAAATGCAAAAAAGTTAGTTGATTTGTGCAAATGCTACCAAACCAGGCAAAAAGCACCTAGCAATTATATGTTGCTAAATACAGTAGAGCTGTGTCATATGCAGTCACACTCATAGACTTAGTCCATAATCATACGATTTTTTAATATGCATTATGTGACATGAGGTGTTCTATTCTTGCCAATCTTACACAAAGGATATGCCACTGTCTTTTGTCCAGCGGAGCATGGCAGATGCTCTCACAAGCTCCCATTGATTTGCTGGAAAGTGTGTGTATACAGTACTTGTATGTTTTTCTGTCTGTGTGTATGTGATGTGTCGCTAGCTAGCTCCACAGATAATTAGAACACAACTCTTTTGCTGTCCCTGTAGGCTGCAGATCCAGCTGCCTTCTATATAGGTCAGCTGTGACAAAGCCCTCAGCACCGAACACTGATAAGAGCTGCTAGCTCTCTCATACACATGGAAACACAAGGCACTGACATGCTCTCTTGCACATATATGGTTCACATAGGCTATGTTGTACACAGATATGCAGTACACACACTATGGCCTGCTCATTAATGATGACAGTCGCTAGGAGTGTGCAATGTCAGAAAAACTCACCTACTCATGACTTCATCTGCCGACTAGTTTCCAGCAACTGCCAAAACACTCAAATAGCCCAGCCCAACATTCTCACAAAAAACGTTGCACGACACAGTCATGGCAAATTCATTCACTTGCTCCAAAATCAATGCTAGAAAAAAATGGTTTAGTCTTTATCAGAATTGAAAAGTAACTAAGTACATTTACTTAAGTACAATTTAGAGGTTTTTTATTTTCTGTGACTTCAACTTCACTACATTTTAGAGACAAATATTCTTTTAACTCACCACATTTATGTGATAACTTTGGTTAGTAGTTGCTTTTCAGAACAAGATGAATAAAACAAAACAGTATAATTACATGACTTTATTGATCCCTCGCGGGACATTCACAAGCTACCCAGAGTGTATAAAGTCATTCAAATTATACAGTATAACATTAGTATACTGTACTGTACAGTATAACATTAGTTAATATTAGCTCCATTAAATGTGGTGTAACCAATCATACATTAATAATTACAGTCCAAGAATGAATACTTTTACTTTTTGTACTTTAAGCAGTTTTGATGATAATACTTTTGCACTTTTACTTATAGGTCTCCTTCTATTCAACAGATTTCAACTGATGTTTTTATTGTTTACTGATTATGTGTGAAGTTGCCTGGTGAAACATTCAGCTCAACATACTTTCATAACATTTCATATCTTATAACACTTTAATTTAGCTTTACAGCTTTATAGTTATGTGACTAAAATCCCGTCTGAACAATCCAAAAGAATGAGGTATTCTCAAAAGTCACCAAGATTTTGTACCCATATGTGACTAAAAATATTGTTTTTATGCTTAATATTACTGTGAGTTTAGCAGTTGTCTTTTTTTATTTGAGCACTGTTCTTTGGTAACAGCTGTGGGAGCCATCCTCTGCTCTAACAATGCAGAGGGCTCACTTAACAGTAAATACTAAATATCCTGATTGACACTTTGTGAAATACAAACATTACACACACATTCGTTCTATTTCCATTCTCAGAGAAGAGCTGTAGGTGGTGCAGAGCTGCAGAAACCTTGGAATGCACTTTGACAACACATTGGACATGCAAAAGAGAGTCTCTCTACAGGAAACACCAGAGCAGAGTCTACTTTTTACTTTAATATGTACAACAAATTACCAGTCTGCTTTGGCCAGTGCAGTAGTTTTCATGGCTATCTGCTGAGGCAGCAGCATCAGAGCCAGTGACACCAACAAACTGAACAAACTGATCAGGAAGACCGGTGTGGGAGGCTTTCCTGGAGCCTCTGAAGTTGGTGTGTGGAGAGGAGGATGCTGCACACACTGTTGAACACCCCCAGCCCCCTCCATGACCTACTGGTCAAACAGCAGAGCATTTTCAGCCAGAGACAAAGCATGCCACAGGAGGTGTGTCCGGCCGACTACCATCACAGTGTACAATAACTCTCCTCTGTGTCAGGTCCTCTGACTACTCTCATAGATACAATATGTTCAGGTACATTTATATTGTTGTTAAGATTAAACCTTGTTATTATTATTATATTATGCAGTAGGAAAATGCATCTTAATATACAGTTTCTCCAAATTATCCATCCACCTGTCTGCACCAATGTACACTGTAAATACTGCAGGTGTTTTGTTTTCTTTCATTCTTTTTTATTTTAACTTTTGTCATTCTATTGTTTTATATACTTTATTGCTTGTAAATGGCATACTTCATTGTTCTTGTTGTTGCTGCTGTAAAAGCACAATTTTCCTGAAGGGATTATAGTTATCTATATATGCATTTTTCACATGCTCAGGCTTACTCTAGACTCTTAAGCAGCTTAGAGTCATGTATAGTCCTGCTGCTACCTCCTTACACAGAATCACTGCAGGTCACTGAGGGCCACCTCACTGAGAGTTTGGTCTGATTGAAGAGGAGCCAGGTAGGAGAGGAGAAATGCAGTTATTTTCTCCTTTTTACACTGTGCACTACACTCTGCTGCCCCTCTGTTTGTAAAGACCACACTTATTCAGTGCCTCCTCTGATATAGAGAGTACAACAAAAGTGACTGCTTTGCCTCCTCAAGTGTTTTATCTAACTTATTTTATTGATGACCAACTCAACAGAGAAGGATCATTATCTTCTGACTGCCGTACTACAGTGGGCTCACTAATGGGGCAATAATTGGTGAAAATTACAAAGCGAACAAGTAGTGGCATAGCCTTTGGGATGGCTTGAATGAGAGGCCTAGGCTATGTCGCATTGCGGGAGATGTTCTTGAGTCTAATCACCTCTTTTCTCCGTCATTCAGCTTCTCTTTGTTTTTCTACCTATGTGCGCCTGGATAGTGCAAAGCAAGCAAGTGGGGTCATGCAGGGTTTTAAACAACTGCGACTATTTATGCAAATACATTCAATATTTGATAGTCTCCATCTCTGCTTATTTTCCTCTCCATCTCCCTCTCTAACAAGAAACTGCAATAGGGCCTGACATGTGCCAAGGATTCTCCATAGAGCTGAGGAGCAAGGCCAGTTCATCCCAGACCAGGAGAGGTACAGGTTTGGCCTGACCACTACAACCAGGAAGCAATGAGAAATCACAGAGACAGCAAAAGTAGCCCTGCCTTAAATTGATATATAGGAACATAGCTTTTATAGATTATACACACCAGTGGAAGCATGGTGAGCAGTGAATAGCACTGTCACCTTACAACAAGAAGGTTCCAGGCTTGAGTCCTGGCCGACCCGATGCCTTGCATGTTCTCCCTGTGCCTGCATGGGTTCTTTCTGGGTACTCCAGCTTCCTGCTATAGTCCAAAGACATGCAGCTTAGGTTAACTGGTGACTCTAAATTGCCCATAGGAGTGAGTGTGTGTGGTTGTTTGTCTACACGTCAGCCTTGTGATAGACTGGCAACCTGTCCCCCCCCCCCCCTTTCCAGGATAAGCGGTATAGATAATGGATGGATGGAAGACATACCACTGCCTTACACTATATATATATGTCCATTTGATCAAAATGTATTCTTTCACTTTTAATGTTAAAAGGGAACAGACTTTTACTTTGGCAAATATTTACTCAGTTTGAAGACCACTTGTCAATGACAAGTCAGAGCCAACCTCAGTATATTTATCCCACATTAATCACTCATGTCATCAACTTCTCAAATTCCTTGTAATGTTCAAGAGCTGAAATGAGAACCTAATTTAAATATGTTTAAATATTCATTGGTGGACAGCAGCAAAGCCATTTTGGAACAAAGCTGAAGTGTCAGCTGTATTTGACAACCGACTGACACTTTGATGAACAAAACATATACAGTGAGGAACAGAAGTATTTGAACACCCTGCAATTTTGCAAGTTCTCCCACTTAGAAATCATGGAGGGGTCTGAAATTCACATTGTAGGTGCATTCCCACTCTGAGAGGCAGAATTTAAAAAAAATTTCAGGAAATCACATTGTATGATTTTTAAAGAATTTATTTGTCTAGCACTGCTGAACATAAGTATTTGAACAACTGAGAAAATCAGTGTTAATATTTGGTACAGAAACTTTGGTTGCAATTACAGCGGTCAAATGTTTCCTGTAGTTCTTGACCAGGTTTGCACACACTCCTCCACACAGATCTCCTCTAGATCTGTCAGGTTTCAGGGCTGTTGCTGAACAACACGGAGTTTAAGCTCCCTCCAAAGATGTTCTATTGGATTGAGGTCTGGAGACTGGCTAGGCCACTCCAGAACCTTGATATGCTTCTTTCAAGGCCACTCCTTGGTTATCCTGGCTGTGTGCTTCGGGTTGTTGTCATGTTGGAATACCCAGCCACGACCCATCTTCAATGCTCTGAGGGAAGGAGGTTGTTGCTCAAAATCTCACAATAAATGGCCCCATTCATCCTCTCCTTAATACAGTGCAGACGTCCTGTCCCCTTCGCAGAAAAGCACCCCCAAAGCATGATGTTACCACCCCCATGCTTCACAGTAGGGATGGTGTTCTTGGGATGCAACTCATCCTTCTTTTTCCTCCAAACACGACGAGTGAAGTTTAGACCAAAAAGTTCTACCTTGGTCTCATCTGACCACATGACTTTCTCCCATGCCTCCTCTGGATCATCCAAATGGTCTTTGGCAAACTTCAGACGGGCCTGGACATGTGATGACTTGAGCAGGGAAACCTTCCGTGCAATGCATGATTTGAAACCATGACGGCGTAGTGTTCTACCGACAGTGACCTTTGAAACTGTGGTCCCAGCTCTCTTCATGTCATTGACCAGCTCCTCCCTTGTAGTTCTGGACTGATTCCTCACCTTTCTTATCATCAGTGATACCCCACGAGGTGAGATCTTGCATGGCGCCCCAGTCCGAGGGA